CTCTCTCTCTCTCCCTCTCTCTCTCTGTCTCCTCGCCCACCTCCGCCGGGAGCGAGCGCCGCGGCTGTGCGGAAAAGCCATGGGAGGCGAGACCTCGGCACCTGTTCAGCTGAAATCAAGGGCTTACAGTATACTGGGCAGTCTGGCTTGGTGGTAGGAGCGAGCGAAAGGAAGGAGAAGCAAGCGAGGAAAAGTGAGAGAGGATTGGAGCGACTGCCGCTGCCGGAAAAAAAAAAAAAAAAATAAAGACCCAAGGAAGATAACTGGGAAGGAAAAGGATTTTCATGGCGCAGGCTGCAGAGCTAAGCAAGAAGACTGAAGGTTGCATCTCTGCTCTTACAGTCTCTAACTGTCTAGGTCCAGATAATGAGAGATTGTGTTGAGGATGCTGCTGCTGCTCCCCTGTTCACTGTGGAAGCCATCTCCAAATTAGCCATTACATATGGAAACTGGAGACCAGAATTTTAGAAAAAGGGATTAAGGCGTCTCGTTTTGGGGGGGGTTCTCTCTTTATTTGTTTGGTTTTTTTTTTTTTTCTTGGTTCTTTTCTCTCTTTTTTTTTTTCTTTTTCCTTTTTCCTTTTTTTATATTTCAACCAGAACGTTTCCAATTTAAAAGGCAAGCCTCTTCCCGTGTGGTCTTTCTAATTTACACTCTTTTCCGTGGGCTTTCTTACCTCTCTTTTTTGATATCTATCTCTCTATATATACCCGTTATATTATTAGTCGGAATTATTATTCTTTTATTTTATTAAACACACACACCCCAAGAATCAGAAGGCGGTTGGGTATTTGTATAATGAAGAATTATGGGGCTCTTTGACAGAGGTGTTCAGATGCTTTTAACCACCGTTGGTGCTTTCGCTGCCTTCAGCCTGATGACCATAGCTGTGGGGACCGACTACTGGCTTTACTCCAGAGGGGTTTGCAAGACTAAAACTGTCAGTGAGAACGAAACCAGCAAAAAGAACGAGGAAGTCATGACCCATTCTGGATTATGGAGAACCTGCTGCCTGGAAGGTATTTGATTCTGGATGTCCACACCTCCCCCTTTCCTCTCCCACTACCCCATGTTTCTCCCCCCCTTCCAAATAAATCCCTCCACATTCCACCATCTTCTCACTTCATTCCTTTCACCACGGATGGAGAGTGGTGGGCTCAGTTACTCAGGGCACGGAGGCGAGAAGACAGGCAGAACATTCTCCGCTCCATTCCCTTCTCCCTTCCCCATCCCCCTTCCCCTCACTTTCCCCCAAATTCATTTCCCCTCCAACTGGATTGATGTGTGCGTTACAAAAGCACCAAGAGACCCTTTCAAACAAGCAACCATGCGGTCTGCCTGTCTTCAGCTTGTTTGTATTGCCTGGGAAAGCAACACCAAAATGCTGTATTATTGCTGTTCTCTGGCTGTAGCCACAGAGTGAAATAATTGCTCTCTTTGCCAAGGGTTTATTGGCAAAGATATGACTCGGAGCGAGGGGCAATGTGGGGAGGGGGTGACTGCAAAGCACTTTGGATGCAATGATTAGTTCGCTTTAGAAGGGAAAAAAAGAGAGAAAGGGAAGCGACCCTGTTATGTCCAGAAACCCTCGTACAGTAAATTTAATGGTTCCAGTCGTCTCAAGCAGAGTTCAGAGCATTTCGTAACGTCTGTAAGCAACCACATCTCACTGGGCTGGGTGCAGAGGGGTCTAGTTGGTGGCTGATCAGTTTGGTTTGGGGCTGGGATTTTTCCCGTTTGTTTGCTGTTGCTGGGGGGGGTGGGGTGTAGGTTTTTGTTTGGGGCTTTTTTTTTTAAGAAAAAAAAAGGTTTATGGTAAAGGCTAAAAATAAACAAGTCTCTGAATGGAAAAATCAGCCTAAGTCTGATGTGGTGAAACTGAACAGCAACTCAGTGACATGTCTGATGGCAGAAGAGACACCGCCGCAGCCAACTTCTGGAATCAGACGTTCCTAAGGGAGGGGGGGGGAAAGGAAAGAGAGGCCAGTGATTCGCTTTGAAATATGTGTTGCTCAGTACTGCTATTGGTGTCTGTGTGGGCTGGGGAGGTGGTCTTCAGCCTGTGCTGGAGGGGCAGGGGTGAGCGATGGAAATGCGTGGTTTGCGCTCCGCACGGAGCGAGAAGGAGCGAGCGGGAGCAGAGGAGCGCACGGTGCAGCCCATTGTGAAAGCCCTGTTTATGAATCAGCTCCCAGCCCGAGGGTGGGCTGCCGGGGCTTTATGAACATCCAGGGCTCACGTCTGTGGCTGTCAGTGCCCACCAGAGCTGGGTGTGCCCGGAGCTCTCCGGCGGGAGAGAACGGGCAGCGGGTACCGCAGGACTGATTGCCTAAGACCGGCACTGGGAGATGGAAGGCAGGGGGGGAGGGGGGAATAAACTATCTATCCTGATGTCTCTCACCAAAGCAAGCTAAAGCTGCTGTTTGGAAATGGTTGTGTCCGGGAAGAAGCGCGAATTTCCCCCCCGTTCTTGGTGCAAACGGTTGAGTGATGGCTGGACATGTTTTGAATAGCTAAGTGACTTCATTGAGCGATGGTCTATTTGACGCATACTGCATTTAGTGCCCTTTGTCAACCCAAACTGCTGCCTTTTAACATATCCTGCAGAGGAGCTCTATGCTGAATACTATATGCTGTCTCCACGCCAGAAAATCAATAGCAGTAATTTAATGGGGGATATTTTAAACACGCTCGCTCGCACACACGCACACATTTCCTCCAAATAGATGAATATATAGAAATATATATCAATAAAAAAATGAAAAGCCTTTCACGCAGCTATTCATTACAATCAGGGAAGGAGACATCTCCTTAATTAAAAATTAATGAGAGGGGAAAAAAAAAAAAAAAAAGGCAGCCCAAATGCAAAGCCATGCAGGGAAGGGAGGCTGCAGGGAAGAACTCCCTTCCCCAGCCGTGTCCCCAAGCTGGAAGGCGGAGGGAGGCTGGGGTGGAGACAGGAGGTATGAGGACCCCGGCCAGGAGAAGCAGGGAATTCAACTCATGTCTCTCTGCCCAGAGCTGTACCCAGAGGGACACGGTCTGAGGGGGAGGAGGAAGGGGCGGGTGAGGTTTGTCAGATCGGAGGAGCTCGGGGCTCCTGCTCCTTTACATCTGACAGGATCCCACAGGCACCGTGGAGAAGGGGCTTGCACGGCAAAGGAAAGTGCCAGGGTGCTTTCAGTTAAAAGCTCTGAAGTGCCCCCAGACCCACAACGCCGTGCTGCCAGCCCAGTCCCCCTGCCCTCCCCGCTGATGCTCTCCAGTGGGCTCAAACCGCAGCCCCGCATCAGGGCTGGGAAATGCAGCCTGAGCACAAGCTCTTGCTCGCCCCAGCCACGTGGGAGGGTTGGGCTGGCCCATTCCCCCAGCCCCTGCACGGCGAGCAGGGTAGGAGGGTGCAATGCACCAGAGAGGAGCTGAGCCCAGCTCTGAGTCCCTGGCCTGAGGGCACAGGTTGCACCAAAACTTGGAGGAAGGCTCAGTAGCAAAAGCATCTCAGCAGGAGGCAAAACCAACCCTACGGCCACGTACCAGGCAGGGCCTGGGCACTGCTCTGCCTCGTGGAGCAGCATGGCACGGGTCTGGCACCACCGCTGGTGGGATGCCTCTGCTGGGCTTCCTGTAGCCCCACAACCCACACAGGCTGGTGGCTGGTACTCTCTTGCTCCCAGGACAGCACAGCCAAATGTTCCCACCAGCCCCTAGACAGCGGGCCTCTTCCTGTCACATCTGATCACCTCGGGAGGGTTATCTTCTTTCTTGGCAGAAGGAGTCAGAAAGGTGTCCCTGGCTGACTCACTCTCCCTGCTGAAAGCTGCCTGCTGGTGAGCAGGAGAGAGGAGGGGGCGGCGAAGTCTTCTCTCCCCCACGATGCAGAGGGTGGGCAGATTGGTGGAAGGAAGGGCTTGGTCCCAGGAGGCTGTAAAAAGGGCAAAATCCATGGACTCAGCTCACACCCTGCCTGGCAAGGGCACCTGACCAAGGGTGTGGGACAGAGACGCTTCTGCTGCTTGGGGCACGTCTATAGGGTGAGGGGAGGTAGTGAGGAGAAGAGCAGGAGACTTTGTAATAAGAAAAAAAATCGAAGGAGCCTAAACTGCCTCCTGCTAGTGGTAGGAAGCCTCTGAAAGGTTGTCTTAATTTCTGGGGATGTGGGGGAACGCAGGCGTGAGGCAGCACTGTAGGCTGTCAGAGATGGTGGACTCCTCGTCTTCAAACACTGTGCTCAATTGTCTTTTCTCTTCTTGGCCAAGGTACCCAGTAGCAAAAATAGACATGGAGACTCAGTCTTGGGCTGTGCACACAGATAACACTGCGGCCAGGGTTACAAGTTCCTCTTGGAAAGATTGGTTCCTGGGCTTTCAGTTTTTGTGTTCCCCTCTCTTCAGTCATTCTGCTCCCCACGGTGGACTTTTGGTTGGCATTTTCAGGTCTTTGTTTTGCGAAGAGGAGCGTCGTTTGGGATGCTCCTTCTCTACTGCAAGGTCTTTCCCCCCTCTCTTGTGACCTACAGTGCGCCCCTGCTCCATGGTGGGGCTAAAGCAGGACAGTGGTGTCAGTTCACATCACTGCAGATCACACGTCTGATTTTTTTCCTAGTCTTCCTTCAGACAATTATTTCTCAGAGTTTGGGGTTGCCCAAGTGTGTCCCTGGGCCAATTAAAAGACTCTGAACTTCAAGAAAAGTGGCCTTTCCCAGCCCTTTAACTCCACAGGCACAAAAACCACATACACCAAGCAACTGAGATCTGCAAGCTCGTGCCACACATGGATACTGCACCTATTACAACTTCAAAATGCCTGTGGATCTTCCAGCATAATTTCTTCTTGGCAACAAATGCTTTAAACCCACTCTTTATTATGAGTGATGCTTCATCTAATTCTTTCATTAGCTCCTGTAGATCTCCTACAGGATCTCAAAAGCTGAGCGACGATGCCTTATCAGGGTCTTACGAAGCAGGCAAATGAAATGTGCTTTGTATCTGCAGGTTATTGGTTTTGTCATGTCATTATTATTAGGAAAGGGATAGGTCTGGGAGGCTTTTATACCGAGAAGGAGGGAGAAAAGAGTCCAGGGCAGGCAGGCATGAGTGATGTGCAAGGGGTTAGGCATCCCTGTAGATCTGACTGGTGTGAAGGCGAGTAATTGAATGGATGTTGGTGCAGAAAATAATTCCTGCCTAGAGACCCTTCCCAAGGAAAATTAATGAGCTGATCTGTTCCCTTTCCAGCTTGTTATATCTCAACAGTGCATGAGAGTTAAGTGCAGTTTCAGTGCTTGCAGAAATGAAGAGCTGACAGCAAAGTGAGGCAGGGCACAGGCAGTGGACAAGCTTCTGCCAGAGGATTCTGGCACTGCGTCGCTTCCTCACACTGCCTTCTCCCACTGCTGTTTACTCCTGGGCCACATCTTTCCTTTCCCACCCATCTCCTGAGTCATTTTTATCTCATCTTCCCTCTTATCTTTCCCAATTCCCTTTCTTTTACCTTTCATTTCTATCAGGGTCCCTCGTTTTGCATTGTAGAATTGCTACCGTCCTACTTCCCAGGATCCACAAATCTACTGGTGTCTTTTCCCCTGACTCTTGCTGTCCTAAACCAGGGGCTTTTCTGAATGTGCAGTGAAAATTGGTGTAGATTAAGTCAAGGTCTCCATGTCTTCGTGGTTCAGGACCAGGAGCAGCTTAGCACAGCCTTGAGATGCAGCAGGAGGCACATAGCCGATCGCTGCTGGCATTGCATCTGCCAGGGATGAGGAGGATGCAGAGCTGGACAGGACTGAGATGAAGAGGAAGAAAAAGGATTTTAAGAAGTGGGGTGGTCGATGGTGAGGGAGAATTACTTGGGATCCCAGACTTGGGTGGGTTTGTTTCTCCTCTCAGATTAAATTCACACCTGACTGTACGTCACCTAGAGGGCATGGATTTGAGGGGCTGAGACCTGCAAGATCAATTCCTCTGTAAGATTTTACATGGAAATGCTGTTCCTCACCAGGGAGTTCCCAGAACTGACTTTT